TAACTTCTTTTCTTCCTTGTTCTTTCATGCTTATTTCCAACTTGGATCATTTGGCTTCCCCATTGTAATTTTTTGTGCTCGTTTCTCCCATTAAGCTCACCTATACAATTAATCATGTTGGCTAGCTCACAAACAAACAAAAGACTCTATAAGACTATAAGATAATACATTTCGAATTCAAACTTAGCTTAAATGCGGGCATAATTAGCATTCTAGTCATATAAATATGCCTAAGATCATGTATCCCTACTAGATATGGTTAAAGTTCGGGTGCCACTTCTACTAGTCGGGTTTGAGTCTTGATTTGGCGATTCTATTGGGTTCTTCGAGTTGCCTAAACTACGGTTCAAGTCTGTGGATGGCCATTGTAGGTTGGGAGTTTCTTTTTTAACTTTGCTAGTAGTGAAGTTTTTACCAAAATAATTTATTATTTAAATCAATTTACAACAGTAATATATTTTTTCAAAATTTTACAAAACTAGTATAAACGTTGTTTATAGTAACGTATTAGGCCATCTATTAATTCTGCCAAGAAACAGACCAAAACTAACGGGGGACGGCGTTAAAGTTAGAATACGTTACTATGAATAACGTTTTAGAGTTTAAGTTGGAATACGTTACTGAAAGTAACGTTTTAGAGTTTAAGTCGATATACGTTACAGATGGTAACGTTTTAGAATTATTATATTAAATCTAATTTACCCATTAGCCGCACTTCCCTCACCTGCTGCACTTCCCTCACCTTCGACCTAAACCCTATTTCATATTTTTTATCCCTTTCATTCCCTCGCTAAGAGAGCATATGCATGTCGCTGGTTCGATTCTTATCGTTAGTGTTGCCAGAAAAGGAGATTCACAATATTTCAGCGCCATAAGTATTTCGAGAGGTAGTTTTTTTGCTTAAGGTATGTTTTTCTTTACGAAGGAATTGAATTGAATCGTAAGTAGGATTCTATCTTGTATAAATTGAAGAACGTGCCAACCAACTCATGAAATTGGATTCCAAAATAAGTTGTTATCTGATTACTTGTTTTGTTTAGTTCGATTTAAGGATTGTTTCATGGTCACTGAACTCAGAATTTTTATTTAAAGTTGTAACAATTGTATATTGTTGAAGAAGATTGCGTAGCAGTGCATTGAGAGAATAGCTATAGTTATTGTTACATTGTCTTTTAGATTAGTATATGTTTGTTAGTTAGTTACATAACATAATTAATTTGTTAGCCTAAATTGCATAACTCATTAGTTGGTTAACTTTGATTATTGTAATTAGCACTTTAGTCATTTATATAAATAGCCTACTGTACAGATGTAAACATACAATGAAACTATCTAATAATGATAATCTATATTCTTCTCATCTATTCAAACAATTCTCTGTAAATTTTGATTCTTAACATATATCAAGAAAAAGATTATACTCAAGTTCTATTGTTGCTTAGTGTAGTCTAAGATGGTTTGTCTTATATCAACACACTTACAAATTAAAGAGAATGACCTTAAAATTTTTAAATGTGATTTCATAACTTTACATCACTTTTGAAGTATGTCGCCAAGAAAAAACTACATAATAGTTCGGGCTAACATTTAAGTTTACTTTCATGTATATTTCATAGGTATTTTTTATGGCTAATGATAGTGAATACAAGTTGGATCCCGGTCCATTGGAATCAAATGTATTAACGGGACAACTTACTCATAGATCACAAGATATATGGGAAGGAAATGTTAATATGATTCTTAATACAAGGAGAGAAGATGGAAATTTTTGGAAGCTCATAGAGAAATATCCCATCCATCCACGAGTTCTTAAAGTAATGAGATTATCTGGATTATATGGTGTTTACAAATCTAATTGGCCTGCTATTGACTGTAGTTTGATCACTGCACTAGTTGAGCGTTGGCGTCCTTAAACTCATACTTTTCACTTTAGAACAGGCGAAGCAACAATTACCTTGCAGGACGTAGAGGTGTTGTATGGATTACCTGTGAATGGTGATCCAGTACTTGGTAATGAAATGATAAGGACCATAGAGGATTGGCAAAACATTTGTCAAAGATTTTTAGGTTTTGTTCCTTCTCGTGAAGACTTCAAAACAAATTCCATCAAGGTCACTGCATTTAATTCACACATGTTAAGCCAACCACATTTATTGAACATGGCAACACAAGATATGGTTAATCAGAAGGCAAGATGTTACATGTTCTGGATGATTGCAGGTATGATGATGGCGGATACATCTGGTGGTTATTTGAAGCTTATGTACTTGTCTATGCTCGAAGACGTCGATAAAATTGGATCTTATAGTTGGGGGAGTGCGACCTTGGCATACTTGTATCATTTTCTTTGTAAAGATTCACAGAGTACTCAAAATGAGATAGCCAGATTTTTGCCACTACTTCAGGTATACCTAATGATTGTACATATAATTTATTTATATTTCTTTCAATTTGTCTCTGTAGTATTATTGGAGGATGAAATTTTTTAGAGATATAATCCTAAAACTCTTTCTCCAAGATTTGGGCGTGGGAGAGAGTCACTGTTCTCCGTCCTCAAATAGTAGCCCACAGAGATGCGAGAACTATTTGTCATGTTGGTTTGCCTAGGGGTCCGCATGCTACTAGATGGTTTGCACATCTTAGTTGGACGAATACTACCAAGCGTGTGTTCAAAGTTTATAGGGATGCACTTGACTCTATGATAGAAGATCAGGTACATTGTTTTTACTTATTTATAAATATTGTAAATGTAAAGACTCACTTTGCTCTTTTCTTTTTTCATGTAGTTTATTTGGGAACCGTATTTCGATGACTTAATTGAGAGTCTTTCTCTCTATTGTCATGCTGGACGAGACATATGATGAGTTAGAATTCGAATCTTTTGTTGGGATGTGGTCGAGGTTCATTTGCCAGATCGTGTTATAAGGCAATTTGGACTATAACAAGCTATACCAACTCCGTTTCCATTTGATTCCAACCACTTTCGCCATGATCGTCGGGCAAGAACAAATACGAATTGGGAGTTGGAACATGCATATTGGTTATCATTTTGGAACCAACGTCTCCAATATAGTTGTGATGCACCGGTTAATAATGAACCACTTCGCTATGATGATCCATATCTTATTTGGTTCAGGCGCATTAATCGTCTTGTTATTGGTAATCCTAATTCACGTCCTCAAAATCAACAAGGTTATGTGCCTAATTCGACGGCATATGAAACTATGATATGCCATTTATTGATTAGTGTTGTTTAGTGTTGTTGCTGCCAAGTGATTTATTTGTCTTTATTGATTTTAGTGTGTCATTTATTTTGTTTAATGTAGTTGCTGGCATCAGATTAATGGTGCGTCATTAAATAACTTTCACTTTAATTTATTTAGGTGCGTCATATTCATTCGATGGTTGATGAAGCTAAAACACTTGGTGATAATCCATCATATAGGCCTTATACATGTTTAGAAAAATGGTGCAGATCAAGGTTCCGATTGTTTGAAATATGTCCATGAGGTTGACAGGGTTCATGTGTCAGCCGATTATAGAAGAGATGTGGTACAACCTGTCCAGTTACATCACCCAGTTCGTAGGCGAGGAAAAGGTGGTGTTGCTGGTAGGAGAGAACGTGCTGTTGAAAGAGGACAAACACATGTTGAAATGGATCAGGCCACACAAAATGTCCAAGAAACCTTAGAAGATGATCAAGCAACATCCAATTATAATATTGGTTCTATTTCAGGAGGTTGCACTCATGAATTCACTCAGGCATCAAATATGACATATCAATTGTCAGAAACAGATATCATGCCATACGTGACGCCACAGACTCTACAAATATCAAGTCATCCAAGTCTTTCATCACTTGAGAATGTCATTGGTAATTTTGAAAATGTCCCAAATTTTACCTCATCGCCCGTGCCTCTGATCATTGAAACCCCTGATGCCACTAATAATTTAGAGGACCTGAATCATGATGTGGACGATAATGATCGTAAGGATGCAAATGAAGGCGGTGATACGACTATTCAAAATAGTGAACCATCAAGGAGGGAGAAACGTAAATTAAACTTAAGCCTTGTGGGACTGGTACTTTAACATCTGACATTTTTTATTTAGTTTTACTCTCTTTTAGAATAATAAAACATTTATATTTTCTTTACAGGCATTCACTATGCTATCCAACATGTCCAAAAAAAGAGAGCCAAGAATATGTAATGAAAATTGATGTTGCTGAAATCTTTTGGTGCTGCTGAAAATTGCAGCCAGTACTGCTAAAAATTGGTGCCTGTATTGCTGAAAATTGCAGCCAGTACTGCTAAAAATTGGTGCCTGTATTGCTGAAAATTGCAGCCAGTACTGCTAAAAATTGGTGTTGCTGAAAATTTTTAGTGCTGCTGAAAATTGCAGCCAGTACTGCTGAAAATTTTCAGTGCTGCTGAAAATTGCAGCCAGTACTGCTGAAAATTGGTGTTGCTGAAAATTTTTATTGCTGCTGAAAATTTTAGTGCTGCTGAAAATTGCAGCCAGTATTGCTGAAAATTGGTGCTGCTGAAACTTTTTGTTGCTGCTGAAAATTGTAGCTAGTACTGCTGAAATTGGTGCGGTTGAATTTTTTTGTGCTGCTGAAACCTTTTGTTGTTGCTTAAAAATTTTGGTGCTACTGAACCTAACATTATAATCACTGCACTTTTTGGTATGGTATTTAATTTTACTTTGTGAATAGATTACTTTAATTTCAAAAGTATAAAGGCTTTAGAATGGTGATCTAAGTTTACATTGCCTATTTGAAAAGGTGTTGTCATTTTATTTTACTTATGAGGGCAGGTTAGTTAAACAAATATGGGCGAAGTAATTGTTGAGTGAACACACAAAAATATAAACTTGGTCATGAAAATACAAATTGAAATGAAGCAAAACACATAATTAGAGCTGTTTGAAAGTTAAAAAAAATACATAATTAGAGTTGTTTGAAAGTAAAAGAAAGACATAATTAGACTACCCACTTAAATTTGATTTCGAGTTGGACATCGACGCCTGTCATGCCCAGTCTGTTTACACAATCCACAAGCCCGCCCATATGTTGCAGGATCACGATCCATCTCATTATGAATTCTAGTGGTCCTTGATCGATTGGGACGTCGATAGAATTCACTACTTCTCATTATAAAGCTTGGCGATGACCAATATGCCTCGTGTCCAATCGGTGAGAATGACCCAGAATATGTTGTAACATAATTCTCTATTGTGAAATGCTCGCTGACAAAATTTCTAGCTAATGCTCCCATTCTTTTAGTAACCTTCATGACATGTGAACACGTGAAGTGCAAATTAGCCCATTTTTCACAATCACATTTTTTTCACTTAATGAAATACAATGAGGATTACCACCAACACCATCAATTTGTATTGATCTAACCTCATATACCCCTGTGGATATATTCCAATCATAAACAAAGTGTTTTTTTGAATTTTCATAGTTTTTCTCCCACTTCTTTTTGAAACTGCTTGTCCATAATTCCTTTTGCTCAACAAGTTGGTGAGTTTTTTGACATCTACGAGTATATCGTTCAACGGTTTGCTCCAATGAAAGTCTAACCATAGCAGTGACGGGCAAGCCTCGAGCTTTCTTTAGAGGCCCGTTGAAAGACTCTGAAAGATTTGTTGTCAGTACTCCCCATCTTTTTCCATTATCATGACTAACAGTCCATTTGTCCAATGGAATTCGCATGAGGTATTCATATGCTTCTCTATTTTCTTCTTGAATTTCCCACATCAAAGCTTCAAACTTCCTTACTTGATGAGTTGTAGCAGCCCTCCACATAAGATTACTGAGGTCCCTATTTGGAAATTGAGATTGAAAATTACTTTTAAGATGTCTCAGACAAAATCGATGAAAGGCCCGAGGTTTCTGCAATCGCCACAACTCCGATAAACTAGTCAAGATTTCTTTTGCCCTATCAGAGATAATACAAATATCTTCTCTATCTTTTATCACATGTGCACTCAATTTCCTAAAAAACCATTTCCATGCCTCTTTCGACTCTTTGTCAACAATACCAAACGCAAGAGGAAGAATGTTATCATTTCTGTCAACTCCAACAGCAATTAACAATTTTATCTCATATTTACCATACATATGAGTTCCATCTACTGAAATAACAGGACGACAAGTTTGGAACCCATCAATGCATGGCTTGAAAGCCCAAAATACAAATTTAAAAGTTTTTACCTCTGGTGAACTCATTGACTCTTCGTGTTTCCATTCCACAACTGTTCCAGGATTAAAATATTGAAAAGCTGCAAAAAACTTAGGAAGCTCACTAAATGATTTCTGAAAATCACCATATACCAATGTAAATGCGCGTTGACGCCCAAGCCACGCTTTTCTATATGTTACTTGATGACCAAATTTTTCATGAACCTTAGACATGACATCCACTATCAACAATTTTAGATTTTTACTTATTTGATTTAAAAATAGTGATGCAATTAAATTGGTATCTAAGTTAGTGTGACCTGTTGTAAGCCCTTCAGTCTCACATCTATGATTATTAAAATATTTTCCTATCTTCCAAAGGCTACCTCCAACCTTACGACCTCGAAGAAACCATGGACAACCCAAAGAATCATAAAATCTGCATCTCACAGTCCATACGCTCTTAGTTGATATTACAATCTTAAATTCTTTATTTTTGCTCAAACTCCAAATTGTCACAGCCCGTTTTAACTTAGCTTTACTACTAAAATACATATTTTTTTCTAAATCTTTTTTTGCATCCTCGACCCAAACAGAACAATATTTCATTTTGGATTCACGAGTAGAGATAAAAATATCTTCCTCAGTCTCCAATGTTGTAAAGTAAGGTATATCATTATTTTGCATTTCATCAAATTGATTTTGAAAATTCACCGCACTTTCATTTTGAGGTAAATCTCCAATATCTTCATCGGATTCACTTTCAATGACTTTACTCTCTCCATCATCTTGTGAAGGTTCATCCTCCTCCGAATTTTCATCACTTCTTTGAGCACGTGCATCATTACACAAATCAAAGGTAGCTTCATCTTCTCTGTAAAAAAAAATAATTTCATGAAATACAAAAAAATGAAAATAATTAATTATTCATGCTATTAAATAAAATTAGCTGAAAAGATTATTCTACCTGATTTCATATTGATTGTGGCTACTCTCAATATGTCTTTGACTACCCGAGCCTTCATCAAATGATTGATGAATACCATGTGTTGCAGTGTATGTAAAATGAGGTTGACTGAATGTGGCAAATCCATAATTTTGAGCCAATAAATTCATATGATAACCATGTTGATCATTCATTCGAAACAGATTATCTTGATTTATTGGTCTAATCTTTATATACATCTCCAAAAGATTTATATCAATCTTGTTCAAAAATTTCTGAGGAATGGCAAAAAAATTGTACCAAAGATTGGTCATTCTCAATTTTGAACTCAATAAATCTTATAACGTTACCTTGAAATGAGCATGGATATTTTCCAGAAATATCCAATTGAATATTTTCTCCATCAGTCCCCATTTTCTCATGCAACAATTTAATTAATTCAACGTAGTTGGTCGACATAGACATGCTAACAATCATTCTGGCACATTCGTTATATCGAAATCCGTTCATTTCAGTGATTATTTCACCGCCCCAATACAAAGCAATCATCACGTTATCTTCAAAATTAGCCATCAAAAAATCCTACACACAAAAATAAGATGCATTATAGTTATTAAAAATATGTTATAAGTACATTACAATATATTGACAAGCCATACCTATAAAAATTTTGTGAGTATTGATTCAACAATAAGGCATATAGGCAGAAGCTTTGTAGAACATTATTTGAATGTGCTAAACATTCTACACAACCATTTCTTATAATATACTGTGGCCAACACTTTAAGAATTTATTTTAAAGTTAAAACGTAACATACAGTAACGTTTTATTGGACGATCAAATCTACAAGAAATCTTCACATACCCGTGACATGATAGAATCGTTACTCATGGTAACATTTTAGTCTTAAAACGTGACTCAGAATAACGATTTAACGTCATATTTTGTACAAAGATTCTCAGGTGGCTGACCTGTGATTTGATTTGATATAATCTTTACTCCAAGTAACGTTTTATATGTAAAATGTGACTCCCAGTAACGTCTTCGACGTCAAATTTCGTACAAAGATTCGAAAGTGGCAGATTTCAAAGACATGTTACTGACGGTAACGTCTTAAGCTCAAAATGTTACTGTCAGTAACGTAATGCTTCTTAGCGCCGTCTACCAAATACTTTTAGTCTGTTTATTTTTTGAAAATGAAATATAGCCTAATACGTTAACGTTTATACTAGTTTTGTAAAATTTCAAAGTTTCATATTATTTTGGTGAATTGAATGAAATAATAGATTATTTTCGTCAAAACTTCGCTAGTAGTTGTACTTATTAGGATTATGGGGTGCATTTGAGTTATTTACTTTCAGTTGCGTACGAGTGTACCTTCTGGGCTTATGGGATCAAGCTAAGCAAGGTTATAGTTAGTTGTTTATTGATGTTCGTCCTTTTCTATACTCATGTTATTTCTAGTTAGGCTTTCCATTATCATATCCTTGTCATGACCTTTAGTAGCTTTACTTTTTCGCTTTTCATAGTTCTCGTTACTTTTCCCAGCTCAGTCAGCCTATGATATCTACTAGGTACTTGTTGCCTTGATACTCATACTACAACTTTTATCTATTTTTATACAGTTGCGAGTGCCAGTCGTAAGCATTGATTTGGGCTAGCTGCGGGGATCTCCGGAGACTGAGGGTGAGCTGATGACGTCCTATTTTAGCCTATCTCCTTTTGTTTATACGTTGTTGTTAATCTTATATTTTTGAGATAAGTGTGTACTTTTTGTTAACTTTTGGGACTTGTACTCATATAGGAGCTTTGTACTGATGTCCACCAGGACGTGGGTTTGGATCTTGTACTTTTGCTTCTTTTGTATAAATCATTGTTCTCTGTTTTTCACTATCTTGACACTACTGTAAATTCCCCCTTTGTCGCTATTTCTACCCAATATATCTGTTACTTCTCGTTTTGATATGGGTCGGCTTACCTACTGGTGGATTATGGTAGGTGCCATCATTATTTGAGTTTTTGAATCGTGACACATGACCAAATCTTTCTTTACTTTCTTCAGCTTGTAATGAAAAAAGAGATGGATTTCCCACAAACTCAGCTACCAGTTCTCCTCGAGTACTACTTAAGACAGTCACATGTTTGGTCCAAATTTCAAAAAAAAATGAAAATTTTATGTATAATCTCTATTGATTGTGAACATTGTATTACTAGAGGGGAGTGATCTGAGCCTTCGTTTTTCTTTTATCAAATGTCTGACAATGATTTTGTGCCAAGTACTCCTACTTACTCATTACTCCATCCAAAATCTCTGGAATATGAAATTTACAAACTTACAAAATTGTTGTAAGATGATCAACATCACAAAGAAATAAAGGAAGTTATAACACGACTCGGAGATTGCATTGCCTCTGGTTAACAATCCATGTGAACTTACACAAACCTTACAATGTAAATAAATATCTAATTTCAAAAAGAACAAATTATTTTCTTGTTGGTACTAAGTTATCCATCCAATCAATACTTACGTAAAGAGATGTTGAATGTGTCTTCTTACATCTCACTTATCAGGGAAGAAGCAGTGACATTAGTTTCAGCAGAAATGTCAGAAGTTCCAAGGTTTTGTTGATATTTGGGCTGCTTGTTGGGGGAAAACAGACCAAAATGTTTCTCATCAAACATGGCGAATAAATACGTCTCAATAGGCACCGGCTTTCTTGGAGTACCCATTTTAGCATGTTGAATTAAGTTCCTCAAGCATGTTGCTGCATTTTCTGTTGTGGCTCCAAATCCACCAGCAGATGGCCAACCGGTCTCAGACACAATAATCCTAATAGAGCTCTGATCTGGTCGCCCTGGTATTTGATCGATGGCAGCATAAACAGAATCCACCATTGCATCAAATAAGTTCCTATATTGATACAAACCGTCTTGTACCACCACATTAGGTGCTGTAAAAAGAGCATAGGGGAGAGAAATCTGTCCTGGATTACTCGAATAGCTAAACTAAGGATAAACATTAAGAAGCAAAGGTGCATTTGTATTTCTCAAAAACTCAACAATCGGATCAAAAAATTTCCTAGCATCGTCCCTAAACGAACCATGAGATGGTGGATAAGATTTTCCCATCAATGTCATGTCTATAGACGTTGTAACGTTGATGTTGTATCCTAAACCAGTGAAATAAACAGAATTATAAGTTCTACTCATTGCAGCTTTAAGATGTGAGGTAAGATCAGATGTGTCTTTGAAAGGGCTTATTCCATTTCCAACAACAATGTACTTAATATTAACATCTCGATAAAAAGCTCGAACGTTTTTCTCTACCCACCATCTTGAATTTTCTCCACTGGAAGCAATATGCTTGACATCTGAATTGGGAATTCCTAGCATAACTTCAATGTTGGATCCTCATAAGGCTTCTAAAACTTCATGATTTGGTTCATAAAGCCTCAATCTTTTTATGTTTTTCGACTTGTAGAGTTGTATAACATCGTTATGTGAAGGCAAATTGTTGCCTAGCATTCCATAGCAAACACCAACTGATTTAGCCCCTGCTACATAAGAATTGCAAATGCTGTTATAAACTTAATCAATCTAAGGATTTCTTCCAAAAATGAAAAAGATATGAAAAATCAGTGAGTTTTAACCAAAACTAGCAAATAACTATTACGCAATTTAACTTTCAAGTAAATACCTGTTGTGTAAATGCTGGTGGCAACAAGTAGTAATCCAAGAAGCAAATTTAGCAGCCATTTGATTAGTGTATGTTTATGTGATGAGAAGAATGTTTGTTGATAGAAACTAAGATGAACTTCAAGCTATTTATATTTAGATTATAATACATTATATTAATATAGTAACCTAGATTATAAAATTTGAGTGATAAAATTATTAATTATTTGTTATCTTTAGGCTAATAAAGTTAAGAGCCTCCAGGGGCCCCTTTTTAATCACATGTCCATACAACAACTTGATCATTTTGTACAAAAAAAAAAGAAATAGGAAAGAATATGAAGTTGAAAGTTCAAATGCAGCCCTCACTTTACAAAACTTATATCTAGTTTATTATAAGACTAGTTTCTTCCACGTTTGTCTCATACAATTATTAGAAAGTTGAATTATTATATAAAGTTGAAATTAGAAATATTAGTTTTACTAATTTGTATTTTATTCATTAAATAAAATTCATAATAATCGAATAGTACATTGACATCAAGCAAGAAATATGGAAAAATAATTATATTATTATAGCATCTAATAATATGAATATATCTATATGACTTATTCTTAATAATCTCTTATTATGCTCCATATTAGTAAGTACACAAATATGTAGCTATCTAAAGAAACTATATTAGTAAGGAAAGATAAAAGTAAATAAATATTATAAAAGTACATTTAAAAACGAATCTAAATGTCAGAAATTAGTAATTTCAGCACTAATAAAAATAGACTTATAACATTCATAATTTCATAGAAGGTTATATTAAAGAAGTATAATCGGTAAAGAATACAAAAAAATTAAACAGATAAGAATAGATACAACATTCATATCCTTCTTAACACTTTTATTATAACAATATATATAGTAAAAAGAAATATACAAGGAGTAAAAAAAATTTCTCCCGTAACAAAAAAAAATGGTAAAGATAAAATTTATGATTCAAAATATCATTCTAATGAGGATCAACAAATATTAATATTTAAAAAAAAAAGTACCTGAAAATTGCCTAATATTTTTCACATCAATACGAGGCAAGTGGTAAAGAAAAATTATTTTTTCATGATACATATATATAGCTAAAGATTCATTGGATAAGATGAAAATGTGAAGAGTTGTTTAAGTTAATTTTCAGAAGTTAAATGATCTTAGACATGGGGTAGAGAAAAGATGATTGTTTTTACTAATAATTCAATACATTTAATTATACTAACTAAAGAGAGAGGATAACAAATCTAATCATTTGAATACATTAATTATAGAGAAAGAATAGATAACTTTTATTTTTTTAAAAAAAGTAATTCCTAACAATTTCCTATGAAATAATTTCTAACAATTTTCTATAAAATATTTTTGTCTTTCAAAGTTTGACTTTACACCTTCTTAGTTTTAGTATTTAGTATAATATAATATAATTATTACTTAGTATGTAAATAATTAGAATTTAAACTATTGTGTTTAGATGCATGTATTTAACTATAATTATTTAATATTAAATTAATTATATATTAATATTTAATTTAGTTTAGGAATAAAATAAGGACAAAATGATAATTCAACTTTAAAGTTAGGAGCTTCTACTTATAATATAATATATGATTAGATTTTTAGATACATGCACAATAAATTATGGGGTTTTATATTTATCAAAAACAAGTACAACTTTTGAAATCCAATTAAATGTCTAAATAAAATTTTAATTTCAAATTATGACAAAAGGAATTAAATTAAAAATACGTATTTCATTCTTGTGATGTGAAATATGTCAAATAAGAAATAAGACAAACCAAAGAAATATGAGGAACAAATTTAAATTAACGAAAGGAATATTAAAAACTATATATTCTCATCGGAGCAATATAGATTGAATTAAACGATGTTGACCCTACCTGTTTACTAATTCAAAAGATTAGTGGAAGCTCAGAATTAATTTGCAAGATAGTATTATTGGAAGCGCTAGAGACAATAATAAAAAGGAAAAAAAGTTCGAAAAATATTTTAATTTTGGTCGATATTGTTGTTATGATATCAAACTTTGTGGAGTATTTTTACCTTATGGATATATATATATTTAAAATATACTACTTTCTCAGTCCCAATTTATGTGATTAACTTTTCTTTAGTCAGTCAAATAAAAAATGACTCATTTTTATATTAACTAACAATTTAACTATAAAATATGTATTTTACTTTTAATAAAATTATTTACAATCACACAAATTTCTATCATTCATTTTGAACCACACGTTTTAAAAGTCTTTCTTTCTTTTTTAAACTCTATATCGATCAAAATACCTCACATAAAATGCAACTAATAGTGCAAGGATAATTTTTTTTTTCAAAGTTCAGCATTATTATAGCAATTTCTCCGATATATTTAAGAACATTTTTTCCTAATAAAAATCCATTTTATCAGTGGCGGCTTTTTGTTTTGATATGTATTATTTTATTTTAATGGCGGTTTTTCTGTGGACGTACCTATCAACATTGACTTCAAATTTAATCCATTTGTATACTCTCTGCATTGCTCGTTCATTCCACTCTTCTAAGAAAAATAATTTGGTATCTTTTTTCTATGACGTGCATTCATCAAGACATGTTTCTTGAGGGGCTGCAAAAAAATTCAAGTACATAATTCAATTCAAAATTTTAAGACAATTAAGTGAAGTCGAAAATCTTCATAAATTACTTTGGGATCATAGAAGTTGTATATTTGCAGCACCTTCCTCAATACATGTATGGTTTGGTTCATCTTTTTGATGAGGAGCAAATAACTCAATTTATTGACTATTTGAATTTTCGCCTTATAGTTGTTGAGGTTTGTTTCCCTTTCCCCTTCTCCCAATAAAATACTCTTTTTGTTTCTATTTACTTGTTCATATTTTCTCTTTTAATTGTTTCTATTTTTGACAAATTAAGAAAGGTCAATTTTTTCCCCTATTATACCGTCATTTAAATTTTCTAAAATTTCCAAGTTTTAATTCATTATTTTTGAAACCATAACTAATAAGAGTAAAATTATAATTTTACTATGCTAATTATTATTATCTTAATATGTGTGTCATTTTTAGAATTGACAACTAAATAAAGATCGAGAGAGCAATAAATAAGTAAATTATTAATTTTACTATGCTAATTATTATTATCTTAATATGTGTGTCATTTTTAGAATTGACAACTAAATAAAGATCGAGAGAGCAATAAATAAGTAAATTATTGAGCTGAGTTAATATCTCAATTTGTTAACTTGAGAGTGAGAATTTCAACTAGTCGAGAGAAACATAGACAATTAATTCAGTTGGCCTAAAACTAGATGGAGGGACATTTGTGTTGGGTATAGTATTAGGAAGAAATGAGTAATGGAGGAAATGTGAAATTAGGGAATATGAAGTGTTCGCCTAATACTTTAATGAAAAACATTTCTCCCTCATTGAAATAAAAAAAAAACAATTGTAGTTGGTGTTGAAAAGGTTGGAAAGAGGGACTCCTTGCGCCTTCATAGAACTTGATTGATATGTGTGATAATTAAAATTTGCAGTTACCAGATCAGAGTGTAATCAAACATGGAAATAATGTAATTGATGGTGTATTGAAATATACAACCTTACAAAAAGTTTCATTCCAGAATGACAAACAAAAGGAATTTTAAAAGTTCCCCCTACGAATTTATTTGGTGTTGCATACAAACATAAAATTGCATGAAGATACTATATATATGCTTTCAAATATGTCTTTTTAAATCTCACTAGTGAGTGAAGAAGCAGTGCTATTAGTAATGTCCCAAACTCTTTCAGACACCCCAAAGTTTAGGTTGTATTTTGGCTGCTTGTTTGGTGAAAACATTCCAAAATGCTTCTCAAGCTCTGGATTCTTGTTATTCTCATCAAACATGGCGAATATATAAGTCTCTATAGGTCCAGGCTTTCTCGGACTACCTTCTTTAGCATGTTGAATTAAGTTCCTCAAGTATGTTTGTGCATTTTCATGTGTTGCACCAAATGCACCAGCAGATGGCCATCCACTCTCTGACACAACTATTCCTACAGATCCTCCTCCTGTTCGATCCATCGCAGCATAAACAGAATCCAACATAGCATCAAATAAGTTCCTATATTGACGCGATCCATCTTGTACCACTACATTAGGTGCTGTAAAAAGAGCATACGGAAGTGAAATCTGTCCTGGATTACCAGAATAGCTAAAATAAGGATAAATGTTAACGAGCAAAGGTGCACGTGTATCCCTCAAAAACCCAACAATTGGATCAGTAAACCATCTAACATCGTTCCTAAATGAACCCTGTGATGGTGGATAAGAATTGCCAATCAACGTCATGTCTACAGACGTTGAGACCTTAATGTCATTTCCCAAACCAGCTTCACCGATTGCTTTGTAAATGTTAACCAAAGCAGGAACTTGAAATGGGGCAAGATTGGAAGTGCCAGTAACAGGGCTGATTTCATTACCAACAGCTATATACTTAATTTTAACATGAGGCCAGAAATCTCTAACGTTCTTCTGTACCCACCATCTCGCGTGTTCCATCCCAGAAGAAATGTGTTTCACATCTACATTTGGAAGTCCTAATATCACTTCAATGTTTGATCCTCTTAGCGCATTCAAAGCTCCATGATTTGGATCATAAAGCCTCAGTCTTCTAATGTTTCTCGACTTGTAGAGCTGTATAACTTCAGAATGTGATGGCAAGTTGTTCCCCATCATTCCATAACAAACACCTATTTGAGCCTCTGTTCAATAACAAGCAGAAAATGGGGTTTTACAAACTTAGCCAATTCTTCTAAACTTGAAAAATTTAAAGAAACACATGCTAGGGCAGATGTAATTAATTACTGGTTCCTCCGAATCTAATAGCTTTAGCTCAAAATTGTTTACGTCTCAAAAAAAAGTTCACTAAATAAGTACTCCATCCGTTTTAAAAAGATTAGCCTAGTTTAATTTGGAACGGAATTTAAGAAAAAAGAAAATAGATTTTTTAATCTTGTGGTCCAAAATTAAACTTATGTCAAATATACCAAAATTTTCTTTAATCTTGTGTTCTTAAACATGTAATGTGGAAAGTTAAAGTTAAATTGTTGTCAAATAAAGAAAGGGGTCCTTTTTTTTAAACAAACTAAAAAAAAAAGACATTATTTTTGAAACGAAGAAAATATATAAATATTAGATTTTGACTTCGATTTAAATTTTGGATTCACCTCTGCTGACCACCCTCAAATTAAAAAAGTTTGTGAGTGCTAAAACCGAAAAATGTCAAGTAACTTTGGGTAAAATGAATATAGTCATGCAAGTTAGTGTGGGAAAAGATACACAATTAAGAGTATACGGTAAAAAAAAACTATCAATAATATTATTTTTGATGTCGAAAATTCAAAATGTTTAAGTAGAAACCTGTTATGTGAATGTTGGTGGCGACAAGTAATCCTAGAAGCACAATAATAGCTATTTGTGAGGTAGCCATGATGTTTGATGAGAAGTAATGTTTTTGGTACAAACTAAGATGGATTAAGAGCTATTTATAACTACACTGAGATAGACTTGTGTATGATATTAATTGAAGTGGAATATTATTAGAATTTGTTAAGAGCCGCCAGGTGACTTGATCAACTTGATTATTTTATTTATTTATTTTTGTGGAAAAAAGAAGATGAATTTGATGATGTATAACTTTGACTTGAAAAAAAAAAGGAAGAACATATAGCTAGTTAGGATTAGTTTCTTTCATCCACTACAATTATCGTTACAACTAATAAAATTCGTGATACGCTTCTCTTATAGTTTCTCCACATTTGCAAAAATATATTTATGTGCATAACGTTTGCTGGGCAACAAATGTGTATATGATAAAACAGTCTTGAAATTCCATGAATTGATATTGACATATTTGTTTACCAACGTTTGCTGACTTTTCTACTCATTTATTTGAGGAAAAAAAAGGTTTCGTCGCAAAGATTTAGGCTTCATTTGTTTCCATTGAGATTAAGAGGTCTGAATTTGAATACACATTTGAATATTAAAATATGGTTTCTAAATTTGAACACCAAATAATTAATATTATTTGTTTTCAATATATAAATGTGCAAGTGAAATTGAACATTATATTAATAAAATATTATAAAATATTAATCATGATTTGGAGTACTATTTTTTCATTCAAAAATCTTGATAAACAACAATACACCAAAAATAATATTTCAACCGGTGTTCTTGACACACGTCAATACAAGAAAATTATTAATATAAAAAATATTTTTCATTCAAAAACCTTGATAAACAACAATATACCAAAAATATTATTGCAACCAGTATTCTTGACAAACATCAATAGAAGAAAATTATTAATATAAAAAAAATACTTGAAAGGATTTATGAAAACTTGCCGGTTCATGAGGGAAAAAATGATGTTTGATTGAGAAAAGAGAGAGAAGCGATGACTTATTAGTTGATAACTCATTAACTGAGTCTGAATGTTATTAAGAGACTCCTATAGATCTGATTCGTTCAAAGCTCTTCAGACTCATTAAGATATATTTTAAAAAATAAAAAAATTTAAGACCTAAAGACTAAAAATACTTAATAGGCTGAATCTGAATTATTAAGATTCAGACCTCTATTAAGTGCAAACAAATGAAGCCTTGGAGTCTTTTGGTTGAGCGTATTAACAAAAGTAATGCATAGATTAGTTTTATGTATTTAATAGTAACACCTTGTTTAGTACTACACTTTTTTATGCTATGTATCTTTGTTGTGTATTAATGTGCGTATTACTAATATCATAGATTTTTAATTATATTAATAATGCAAGGGGATTAAGTGCATGTATTAGCATGATTATAGACTCAATTACCCTTTAAAATCTCCTTTATATCATAATTCTGAATGATATATATGTAAATATATATTTTTATAGATGATATTTTTAATACAATAAACTAAATAATACATAAGACATAATTTATTTATAATTAATGCAAGTATAACTAATAGAAATATTACTAATACACTCTATTTAACATTATTTTTATACGTTCTATCAGACAACCTTAGTGAATATGGATGGCATGCAGACTCTAGAAACTCAGCAGAGACGGCACCAAGATTAGAAATTTGAAGTTTCTAAATTTCTTTTAAAAATAAAAAGAGACTTTTCGTTGATAATAGGGTTTCAATCCATAAATCTACCCTGAAAACCATTTTCACAGCTCTTATTCCTTATAACTGAGTCATTAATCAATTTTATTAAGAGTTCACAAGTTAATATACATACATAATATTTATCTAATTTTTTAATATAAATATAAAATTTATGAAAAAATTACTAAATTAGTTCAAATCCACGAATTCCACCTAGCCCCACCTCAGCTAGAAAGGCCAGTGAATCAGTAACTGGAGTCATTGTATTAAAATTAGTTTGTTAGAATCAGTCATTTAGTTGAGGTGTAAATCAAGACTTTCGAAATATCCAATGTGTGGAAGCAAAGAATAAAGCAGCCCCCAATTGGAAGAAAGTATTATTGGAAGAGGTTTGTCCCAAAATTATATATATTCAATATTTTAGTGGCGGCTTTTATATTTTTAGGACTTATTTTAATGGCGGCTATATTGAGGAGGCATCTAAGAAGATGGATGTTAATTAAAGTTCTTATTATAAAAAAAATAAAAATAATGATATCTTGGTAGTGTTTTGTCAACTATCTATCTAAACAAAGCTACTTGCCCATAATGGACCATTTAGAAATTTCAAATACATAATATATAAATATGTCGTTTAATTTGATTTCAAATTATATTTATGTCTTTTAATTTTAGATGTCCACAAATAGACACTTAAACTTGTATAAAGTTGAACAAATAGACACATATGTCCTACATGTCATCCTACATGACATTTTTTTGTCCTACGTGGTGTCCTATGTGTATCGTGCCATGTAGGACTGATATTTTTATTTATTTAAAAGTTGGATAGTTAAAGTGTCTGTTTGTGCATTATGAAAGTTGGAGGTCAAAGTTAAAATTTGAAGTCAAATTTAGAGTCTAATATATATGTATTATGTCAATTTCAAATGAGATATTTTTGTTATTTTCTTATTAATTATTTGAAAAAATTTGGAAAACTTTACAAACTTTTGGTGTAATATTAGTTCCAATATCATTAATAAAGTCTCTTTTCCACTTAATTGTCAATAGAGCTTCAACCCTAGGAAATTTTAATCAAAGTAAAAAATTGATGGGGGTAAACTTGAACTTTTTGTTAAAGAATTTGGATACATATATAGACCTATTTATTTCATGTTGGGCTCCACTCATAATAATAGTAGATATTAGATGATTTTTAATGCCAACGAGTAACAATAGTATTGTGATTTTTGCATTTATTTTCCTATTAGTTTCGGGATATATACGCAAATCACTATAAAATAATTAATTAGTTGTTCAACTCGCATATTGTATAGCAAATCATATATTATTAAAAATGAGAAGTTTCAAAATGTAATGTTAAAATATTAATTTATACTGAATACTTTTTTTATAAAAAAATATCATATACTATTAGTTATTATATATTAAATACTATGAGATGTTAATGAATAGTAAAATACTTGAAGAATTTGAAAAGTAAATTTTCATTAAAAACATTATAAAAAATTGCATTTATCTATTAAAATGTCAATCATTACTATTAGAATATAGAGAAGGTGAAGAGGTAACATAAATATAAAAAATGTGAAGAGTTAACATTGATTTAAAGCCATAATAAAAGACCATAATCATCTATATAATCAAATATATACGGATCATTTTGATAGGAAAAAAAGGAGAGGAAGAACCATGAATTTTGTGGATTAATGTTGGAAGAGAAAATTTTGTTCAAGTTTTTGTTTTCTTAGAGAAATCCAATTTTTCGATCTTTTTTCACTAACTAATTCTTATTTGTTTCTCTTTATTTCAGATTTAAATTTGCAGTTGTGTATTCTTCACTTTTCAATCACAACATCAGGTACTCATTTTCTAACAATTATGTTTTGCTAATTTTTTGATTTTTTTCGTTAACTAATTCTTATTTGTTTCTCTATACATTTCAAATTCAAGTGCTCATTTTTTGAAGATTATTATTTTATAGAAATATAATATAATATGTTAAAAATATATATATATATATATAACATATATGTAAGATTAAGATTTAGGAAAAGTATAAAAGATATAAACTTTTTTTCCTTTTTTTGGGGATATTTACACATGGTGATAGATTCTGTTATATTTTATACATTGTGATTATATTTAAAAAGGTTTACTAAAATTATTTTGTCAAATTTCCAGGTATCATAATAAAATAATCGATGCGTGTAGAATGTACAACTATGATTTATATACTAATAAAATAACCATCAATTAAACAAAGGAGCTGGCATGTATGTACAACTTTCGTATACATACGTGACATTAATTTGAAAAAAAAGTCAACTAGCATTGAGTTCACAAGATAGTGTCACATAGATCGAAAAGGGTAGAAAGTTATTAATAAAATAAGTTCAGGGGTAATAGAACATTAGTATAGTATAAGTGTGTCGCTGAGATTTCGAGCATAGTTTGAGGGGTATTTATGCATTATCTCAATTTTAAAATATAATATTTGTTGGTTTATGACTTTATGACATCTATATATGCTGCAAGCAGGTTTTGTTTAAGAAAGCCTTTGATGAACATGTATTGCCAATTTTGATATTCTACAAATTAATTAATTGAGAAAAAAAATGTAGGATAATTGCATGTAAAATCAGAAGAAACGGTGGCAGTGATTAAAATTTTTTCTATGCGAGCATTTGTACATGTTTACTTTTAATTAGAAAATTATTATTATTATCATAAAGTTATAAAACAATATAACGTGGATGTCCATTACTTTAAGAAATTACTACATAACCTCCTCAATTATGAAGATAACCATAATCTCCATAACCTTCAACTTTATAACCATTACTCTTGTAACATTTCTCTTCCATAACCTTCCCTATTATATTCATGTTAATGTCACTTTTATGACTAACCTTTTATATGCCTCTATGTTACACTATAAATAGAAACATAAGAGTTCATATTGTATACACTTGAAGATTTGATAAATACTTTGAAGAATAAGAAATGTTCTTTATCTTTTGTCTCCCTATTTCGATTGTTTTCATCTTCTATATCTATTTTTTTTCTTTATTTTTATATTGTAAGTTTACTTTAGTTCTACAACACGTTATCAATATGATTGTTCTACTATTGAAGGATTGAAGCAAAGAAAATATAAAGAAGGTAATAGTATTTGTGTTTATTTCTCTCTCGAGGTAAATTACTATATAATTTATTTTATATTTTATTTTTGATTATGCATTATTAATTTTCTTATCATCTCAAAATCATATGAGTCCAACAAGTTGTTTTTACTTTTAGCAAACTTTAAATTTGATTACTTATATATTTAAAAAGTAAAATTAGTTTTGTAAGTTAACAATTTGT